ACTCCATGAACATATCCAGAGAGCACATGCCCCCCATGCTTCCCCCACAGATGCATGCAGCAGTGGGGAGCTGTGCCCCCACCACATCCCTGGATGAGCCACCCATAGCTCCATCACACAACCCACCCCAGCCCCAGGGTCCCATTCACCCTAGCCCCTGCCCCTCTCCCTCCCTCACCTTGGGGGCTGCTGGCCTCCTCATGCCCTTTCCCTCTTCCCCCCACCTCCCTCCCTTCCACAGACTTACCAGCAGAATGCTGTTCTACATGCCGCTGCTGGGCTGCATTCCTGGCTACATACATGCTGTAGCTGCTCATGCGTGTATCTGTGCACCCTGCCCCTGCCCCCCCTCCCCATCTTCCTGCTGCAGCAGGCCAGAGCCCATGCCCAGGCTGCCCTGTGGCTCCTTTACACTGCCACTGCTGCCCCACTAGGTGGCCCGGAGGTGGCAGTGACAGCAGCAGAATGGAGCTCAAGTGGGTTCCAAAGCCACATGCACAATTAATGCTTTAAAATTAATGCAAGAACCAATTAACATGTTAATCACACATGTCAATGGCAGTTGACCACCCTACCTAAAATTCATGCATGTTCTTTAACTGAAATTGTTTTATCTGTTGCTTTGATGAGCAGCTTAGTATTTTTATTCTAATAGTGCTGTCTATCAGGATAGCAGGGTATATTCCTCCTGCTGAGCCAATTTTACATTTGAGCTATACATCGAGATGTTTTCTGCCTTCTGATTATTTATTATTTGTACTACAATAGCTCCCAGAGACATTCTCACTGGAGTGTTTGACACCGTCATCATAAAAAGAAACAAGGCTCTCCTCATGTCAGGCATAGGCAGAAATGCCTCTGTTTCTGAGACTTGGGGAAGAAAGGTTTCAAAGGTGACAGTGATATTCTGACTAAGATGAAATTTGGAGGCAACTTTGGATAAGAAACATGAAGTGAATTTGGAGAAAGACCTCTTCCAGGAAATTTCAGCACAACAAAATTCTCCATCAGTGCTGGGATCTCACCATCACTTTTTGTGAAAGCACAGCCACTTGAAAGGCCACCTTTACAGATAAGCCTTCACAGACAGTAATAAATAGATGGTCGTTGACTCAAGAAGGCAGTGCGAATTAATTTTGGTTCATGAGGAACCAGGGCTTGCACTGGAGAGAAAATCTTAGTCAAGCTCTTTGGGAACTTCAGCACTGTGAGGTGGAAGAAGATTGACTGACCCTCCATGACTGGGTTGGAAGCTGATATAGCAATAAGATGCACTTTGATAGTGCTGAGGGACAGGCCACCACATTTCAGGTATTTAAGATGACTGGTCTGGAGATATTGTGGGGAGAAAATATTTTTCATGGCAGGCCAAAAACCTAGTTCATTTATCCAGGAAAACCTGCTTCGTTCTCCCTCTAGTCCAGGAACACTGGAAATCTTGGGGCTCCTCAATGATTTACAGAGAAAGGAATAGGTGCATAATCCCTTAAAGCAGGAGTGTCAAAGATCCGGATTGTGTTGTCTAGCCAGTGGTGTTCCTGGAGGGACAGGGAATTTGGGAGCAGAGTGAGCTGGGGCAGGGCCCAACACTGAAATCCCGAGTAAGAAGCCCTGTTGGAGGACCTGTTTCAGTGGCAGTGAGGGAGGACAGCTGCATTAACCCCTGCAGATCCCCGATTCTGCTCACCCTGCAATGTTGCTAGATTAACAAAGCATAAAAAATAAAACAACACGATTTGCTCCACAACTGAGATCAAGTGCAATATTCTACCCCTCCCTACATCCCTCCACTGTAAAAGTGTTGACGTACAGATATGGCTGTCTTGTATGTAAACTCATTATATCACGATTTTACTTTCTTTTGTTTGTGTGTAGAGATGTAGATTTTTATTTCTTTTTTAAGCTAAGGGCAAAATACCATCCAGAGCTGAATAGTAAAAAGAAAAGTCTAAAAAGGTTTGTGGATTCACATTTTTTACCTCTCCTTTTTTACATGCTGAATGCTAATTTAAAATAGATTATAACAATTACCACTGTAAATCTTTCTACAGTATTTAGAAAGACATGATTTCTAAGGACGCCAGAGAAACAACTTTCACATAAATATAGAAAATATGATTTAATTTGTTAATATTTTCTTGCTCTTCTTAATGCAAACTCTCAAAGTCTGAAGAACATTTTTTCCTGAAGGGTTCCACATATTTATATTAAAATTCCTCACAAAAACAAAGACACTGTTCTAGTACCACAGCTAGCTAGTTCCATGGGCCTAATAAAAACATGAAGGAACTATTTAATTAGGCCAAAGAATTGTTTAAATTATTAAATTAGATATCAAATACAATAATCTAAAGTTCAGGGTTTTATAGTAAATAAAAATTCAAATTTGCACAGCATATAGAAATTCTTCCATAAGTCCTTCATTTTCTTGTATGAACTCTGTTTATGCTTTGCTTCTTGCTGCATGTTAAAATACTGACCCCACAATTCTGTATGTCAAATGCTGAATGAAAAAACAAATTACCATTGGATTTTTAGAGCAGTATTTCAGAACAAGATAAAACCAATGTTACGGTATTTCAATGGACAGTATATGTTTTTATAAACTTTTAAAAGTTACATTCTCTATAACTGGATCTCTAAGAACACATTTACAAGACAGAAATTAACTTTTGGCATCTACTAGGGGTGTGCAAAACAGACTCTATTCAATTCGGATTCGGCTGGAATCGGGGACAGTGATTCGATTTGTTGATTCGGATCACTGTCCCAATTCGATTCGGCCAAATCTGAATCTGAAGATTCAATGCTGATTCAGAGAATCAGCAATTCGGCAACAGTCACAGCTTTAAATGTTTTTTCTACATACCCCGAGTTACCAGGTGTGGCTCATGAATCCTGCGATGGTGGGCTGTGATGGTGAGGTGGATGGAGCATCCACAGGAGCTTGGGGGGGCCCCCCTGTGGGCTTGGCGGCAAACCTGGAAGTGAACTGAAAGTACTTCTGGTCCACTTTCGGGTCTGCTGCCGAGCGCACATGCCCCCTCCCCCTCTCCCGGCTCAGTGATCAGCCATGGGAGGACCCCAGTGCCTCCCCAGACCCAGGAGGCACCAGTCTCCAAGCTGGGGGGTGGAGGGGGGGGTCCCCCAGTTCTGGTGCACTTCCGGATCCGCTGCCGAGCACGCTGGGGACCCCCCTCTGCTCCCGTGGGATGTTCCATCTGTCTCAGCATCTCAGCATTCACGAACCATCTGGTACGCTGAGGTATATAGAAAAAACATTTAAAATTGTGTCTATGTCCAAATCATCGAATCTTTCCAAATGTCTCCAAATCAATTCAGAGGGTTCCGATTCAATTCAGAGGGTTTCCTGATTTGATTTGGATTCAGAGATTCAGCTGCCAAATTGGGCTGAATCTCTGCTGAATCAAAACAGAAATTGAAGCTTCACACAGACCTAGCATCTACCCTATTTATTAGTACAGAAACATATAAACACAGAAATACTAGTAAGTATGCTTAGGAGCTGTTGTATTATCAAGCCAAAGTTCAGTCACTATTGCTAAAGCTCAGCTGATTTCTTGCACTTGTGACGTATCAGAGCACAATTTGTTTGGCACTGTGGTGCGGGTTTCCAGCAACAGGACCAAATCAATGTGACCTTAATTCAATAATGGAATCTTTGCAGTACTGTACCAGCACTATTTAGAAAAAGCAATTGTTGGTTAGTAAAAACCAATCCAGGAACTTGTAAAGGAATTTACGTTTCGTATATCATTACACATTCATATCTTGTGCATTTATAGCATGTGGACATGCAAAATAATCAAAAGACTCTTTATCTTAAAAGAGGATTCATGCTGATATTGTAGTTCAATCCTGAGCACATGACAATCACAATATCTAATCATCTTTTCAGTTAAATGTGCTAGCACCTGAGCAAGTTTGACTACTGAAGAACTTCTGAAATATTGCAGCATTAAGCCCACTGTTGAAGTGGGTAATTGATACAAAGCATGTCTGTAAAAGTTATGTATAATTCCATTTCTGGATGAATAAACTGTAAAAGAATGATTGTATATATGATATGAGATAAGTTATGAAAGGAACATCATTAGTGATAGATGCCATCCAAACAAAAGGATTTCACATCTCTCTGCATGATGTAGAGGGCCACCTTGCCACTAGCTTTAACTGTTTCCTTACTAGGTATGGTCCAAAATTTACAGTCAACACTTTCCAAATATTGTGGTAGCAGTTTCAAATCTTATGATCGAAACTGGCTTCCATCAGTTAGGTCTAAAATAAGAAGGAGCTGCCTTGCCAGTTTGTGGAAGGCTTGATTTGCAACAGAACTTACTGTTTGTTGCTTTTCACCCATTCCCTCCAACATCTTAAGGTTTCTGGTATGAATTTAGCTTTTTCACTTTCTCATATAATTAGCTGAGGAGATTCCCCACCCCCTCCCACTGCCTGCTCCCTCTATCTCCCCCGCCACTGGAAGAAAGAATTTTTTGCACAGTCAATAGCTGAATGGTGAATCAAGGAAAGCAAGATGAGTACTCAGCCCTGAAACAATCCTGTCACATACTGCTTCACCATTCTACTGTACACAGTGCCTCTGTCTTGGTCTGTAACATAACTTACAGTATATATGAATTATCATAGCACTACTGATGTGCATTCTAATGCTACTGATTTGTCAGGCAGCAACTTTTTAATAGTTATCCACATGTTCAGAGTTTTTCCACAGACAAGGTTTAAAATTGAAGCTTTGTGACTTCTCTGTTTTCTAATATTTATGCTAAAAATACTTAATCTCAACTATTACTAGTCCATTAAATCTCTTTATTAATACAGTTAATTATGCACAGTACAGAAGCATCCTACAGTCCTTACACAGGTAAAACAAAGATTTTGCATGACTACAAGGACTGGACAGCATTCTTCACACATTAACATTGAATTTATTCCATCATCAGATTAAAACAAAGTCCTACCTGAATAGGATCTTGTGTCAGTCTCATGGGCCCAATCTGGATCTCTGTAGTTGAAGCCTGCTAATAAGAACAATGAATAAGTGAGTTTTTTCAAAGTATTAAAACACAGATTTTTGCAAGACACAAAGAGATCAAACAGAAAAATAAAAAAGTGACTAGGTAAGTACTACTGTAATGCCTTGTGGCCTGGTTATGCTGAAGTACATCTTTGATTACAGTCTTTTAGGCCCCTGACACTTAAGATGCGATTAACTGGCTAATCACATCTTAAGTAATGACCTGGTTACATGTTCATTCAATTAATGGCATGATAAAACCAGGAATAAGCGACAAAGTTATTATACACTATGCGTGTAATAACTTTGTTGCCAGTTCCTATCATGCCTTTAATTGAACATGTGGCCAGTGGTACCAGCTAGGGGTGTGCAAAGCGGGCCCTATTTGATTCGGATTTGGCTCAAATCAGGGACTGTGATTCAATTAATTGATTTGCATGCTCTCCGGCAGACCTGGAAGTGGACCAGAAGTGCTTCTGGTCTACCTCTGGGTCTGCTGCCAAGCATGCTGGGGGGCCTCTCAGACTTCTGTGGGACACTCCATCTCCCCCACCATCACAGCGTTCACGAGCTGCCTGGTACCTAGAGGTATGCAGAAAAAACATTTAAAGCTATGTCTAGGTCTGAATGTCTCTGAATCGATTTGGAGGGTTCCGATTCGTTTCGCAGAGATAAAAGGGTCCTCTGATTCAGTTTGGATTTGGAGATTCACAATGCATGGGTCCTTAAATAGCAGTATGTAAGTACACTGGGTGTCTTTACACATGGATCCTGGGGTAGGGTTGGGAGCTTTAATTAGGTCAGCTCCAAGAGCTGCTCTAATTAAAGCGCCTGCAGAGTTTTGTGTATTTAGCATCCCCCTGCCGCCATTATACAACCTGTTCGATAAGCTTTAGTTAAAGTGCCTCTGCCACTATTTTGAAACATGGGGATGCTGAATAAATGAGAGGCAGAGGCTACTGATGCATGCTAATCAGCACTCTCCAACAGACTCAATTAATCGAGGCTGCTCTGACACTGTAATTACAGTGTCCCCACACATGTACAGGCACCCAGTACTCTAATCAACAGATACATTGTTTAAAATGAACTTATCACTCTTCTAAGGACATGGACAGATTTAATATTTGTAGAGTTTCAAGTGCCTTAAAAGCACCATAAAAAGTGAAGGGATAGATGACACAGTGCTATAGCACTACAATTTGTCCCAATCTACGTTTTTCAAAAAAGAATCTGGATGAAACAGAGATAACTCGGAAGCACTTCATTGGGAAATGCTTCAGGTTGCATTTGTCCCCCACACCAGAGAAGGATAGGGAGCCGATCATCCCCACAGTGCTTTGCTTCCCCCAAGCCTTGTTAAAATAACAGATCTGCAACCCATTCCCAGCTCTACTTTCTTGGAGCTACAAGCACCTGCTTTACATGTGACCTCACCTTTTAATACTAGGCATAAAGGCACACTGCAGCCTCCATTTTCACAACTGCCACTTAAAAATGGTTTCCTGAAAGCAGGTCAAACACTCTTGAGCATCCATTCACACACCATGCAAACAACTAGTACTACCGTATATTGGCATAGATCTTCTCTCCATCCGGGGCAAGGAGAACACTTGGTGGTCTTTCAGGAACTACACCCCAAATCTAGTCTGTTTACAGACAGACCATGGCAGATATGGCAGCTTATGAGTACAGCAAGGACTGGCATCAAGGTGAAGGCTCTGAAGTCATGGCTTGTAATACCAACTGGGTTTTTAGTGCCCATTGGGTAACATGCATTTATTATAAGGAACTCTCATGGATATTCACCGGGTACAACTCCAATGAGCTGCACTTCCCTGATCTTTCCAAGGTGGACCCAGAGCTACCTAATGGCAGGCATGACAAAGAGAAAGCATTTACAAAAGGTCAGAACTCACTTACGGAACCATTTATACCCTCTCTGGTCCACCCCTACCAGTCATCTGTCCCCGTGAAAAAAACCTGAGCAGGCTTAACTTTTTTCAGAAATGCAAGCCATAACAAACATAACACATCAAATGGTCAGAACTTTTCCTCCTCAAATTCCCTGATCATTGGAAGCTCATGTAAAAACAAAGGCCAGGTGGTAGGGGAGGTACTGGTTTGTGATAATTTGCACTTCTTAGAGCACACAGTTAAAACAAGAGGTTCATCCAGTCATATCTCCTTTGTAACAAGTTTTAAATAGACCAGGGAAAGTTTGTAGGCTGTGGCTTAAGCCTGACAGCATGGGGAGAGGAGGAGGAGGAAGAGAGCTCCTGAAGCTTCACTGACACCAATATACGTGCAGCAGCAGTGTCCCAACTTCAATAGGCAGAATTTGCAGGGCACATACATGGGGGTGTCAAAGAACCATCCACCACCCTGGCAATGGCAATAAGGAGTTTGTGATTTCTGAAAGGAGTCAATAGAGCACCATAGCACCATAGGGGATGACTCTCCACTATAAGCTGGAGAAAAAAGCCAGCACCTGATAGGGATCTAATATCCATAAGTCTTTGCTATTTCCACTCTGCTGTCCTGAGAACCATCCAGGGAATCATGGCTGAGTGGGATGATGGGATCCAAATTCCTCAGTCCTCAGCTGTGGTGCAGTGCAACAGCCTCCAGCTCCAGGACATCCTGAGGTGCTTTACCTTGGATGGGCTCTAAATTTGTATGATACTGACATGCTCCAAATTAAGTGTACTTCACATAAAGGAGGGATTTGAAGCAGGTCACACTTTCATCTGTCCGCATGTCAAACAGTATGCATATCCACTTCCCTGTTTAATGGTTACCTTGATCGCCAGTAAAATATGACCTCAAGAAACCGCTCAATGAGTTGCATGTAAAACTAAATCCCAACTCCAGGCTGTAAATCTGGGCCCCTGATTTGCCACTCAGGAAATCTATTTCTGCAGCAGGCAGTATTCTGCATTTATTGTTCACTTCAGTCTTCTGTTAGGAAGCTGTCTTGTTTTTCAACCTGATATCTTGGAAAAGGCTTGTACACAAACACCCACAGTTTAGAGTGCTCTGTTTTCATCCTTGAATACAGTATTATGTTAAATATTAATCTGCACATGAGAGACAGTATAATTATGTAGTTATGACTGACATGTTATGATTTCATGAGTCACTAAGTCTTGATTCTTCTCAGCCCAACATGCGTCAAAGTATGGTCATAGGCAGCATTCCAAGAACTTAAACATCAGTGAAGCTATTGGTGGTTTTTTTTCAGAGTAAAAGCTATTTTTCTTTCCACAAAGGTCTGTAGCTAAAAGCTACTTTCCTCACAAAAGTATCAAAAACTGTACCTCCTGTTTGAGCTAGTCCCATGTGCAAAGAAAACTTAATTAATACAGTAACATCTGAATGAAAATGAAAATCAATATTGGACACTGTCCATGAAGTTATGAGTGCATAATAAGGCTAGTTAAGGACATGCAGTTTTATGGAAGCAATTGCATTAATAGCTGTTGGGGATGGCAACAAAGAAACAGTTATTTTAAAGGTCTTCTGAGGTTCACTAAAACAACTTTTTAAAGAAATTAAGTTGTGCTTGAAGACTTGTGACACCTGAAGGACACCATAGGCACACTAGGGAGCACACTTGAATTCTGCTTCCAAAGGCTTTGTTAGCAGACACAGACTGCTCCAATGACAGGTTTTAGAGCAATGGTACTCAACCTTCCATTTGAGCGCTGTGGGACCCGTTTTATGGACCAGTGTACTGGTTGCAAAGGGATCTAGCAGTGCTACATCATCCAGGCTACAGGGCTCTCTATCTGTCTGGAAATTTGGCAGGAGGGAAGCAGCAATTAATACTGCCACCATTATCCCACCACCAAATTTCTAGACCCATGAGCAGCCCTGCAGACTGGATGACATCTCTAGAAGGGCGGATCTAACCTGTGGTCCAGAGACTGAGCACCACAATTGTGTCTTTTCAGGGCCTGGCATACAAGAAGCAGTTGCATTTCATTGTTAAGAGCAAGCTAAAAAATGGGGCAGTTCCAGCAGAAGGAGGCTGTAAGGGGAGCTGATCCTCAGGAAGTCAACCCAGGCACCTCTTAAAATCAAGCCAGTATACTGCAATACTAGGGACAATCATAACATAGTTAACATAAAATGGGAATATCAGTTTCATCCTGTTTCTTTTAGGAAAAAGCTAATAATGTTGGCTACCACTACCATTGTAGGTACTACTGCTCAGATCCACAAGGGCACTTAGATGGTATTTAGATGCTCAAGTACAAGATGCCCAACCTCTTCTGCCCACCCTCCTAAACATCCACAATTTAACCAAAAAATATTCCCTGGGTATCTGAAGTTTTCTTAGCACACATACCCAAAGGCATCGCCATCTTGGCAGAGCTGAGCTATTCAGCACATCATGCTTAAATCCACCTGAGATTCACAAGTTAGGTGTTCACCCAAGTCAGAGTTCCTTGAGTTGCCCAATCTAGTAGGAATGCTCACAGCATGGCTAACACACAACTGCAGTGAGTGCAGCTGACATTAACAGGAGTCACAATCATCATCCAAACAACCAGAGATGGTATTGCACCCTCATTTCTATAGGAGACAAGTAGCAGACCTGGGTGCTGTGTCCTCTTCAGCCTGAGGGAGTATAAACCTACACTTTACACATCTCAGAAGAAAATCTAGACCAGCAGCCTGGAGGACAAGCTGGGCTGGTCACTCTTCACCGTCCTGCCAAAGCTGTGCCACCATGCAGAAAAGAGTACAAGATTCAATAAGCTAGAGCATGCATGCATAAGACGACGATGGTGGACTGGGGCAAGGACTTTGAAATCGTGAGTCCTGGATTCTTCTCTGCTCCCAATGAAAATGGCTTTTGCATTAAAAGGCAAAAAAGCAGTACTAGAAGCAGAGCCCAGAATCCCAGCTCTCCTCAGTCCAAGATTCTGACCTCATCACTTGGGCTACAGGATCAATCTGTTCCTGGGCCTGTGAAACTTGTGCTCTTTTCTGCGCAGCAGCCTAGCTGGTGATGCGAGAGAACCTCCACAAGCTGATAAGGGTCTCCAACTTCTTTACGAGTGCCCTTAACTATTAAGCTCTTGCATGAAACACAGGTGGCACTAAGACCACCATCAGCTTCCCCCTCCTCCTACAATCAGGTTTTAATACCAAGCAAGTCATCTCCACCCAAAGGGATGATTTTAGCATCCAAGTCTGCATTTTAGTATGCGGACTAAAGGCTGAAGGGGTGATTTTAGTATCCGCGCTCGCTCAGGCTGAAGGGATGATTTTAGTATCTGCAAAGCTAACTGCACTTTATCATGCATCAGCAGACGTATGACAAACAGAACCAAGGAGGTGATACTTCCCCTCTATCGGATGCTGGTCAGACTGCAGCTGGAGTACTGCCTCCAGTTTTGGGCTCCACACTTTAAGAGGGATGTGGATAACCTGAAGATGGTTCAGAGAAGGACCACGTGTATGGTTAAGGGCTTGCAGGCCAAGCCCTACGAAGAGAGACTAGGGCACCTGGACCTCCTCAGCTTCTGCAAGAGAGGGTTGAGAGGCGACCTTGTGGCTGCCTATAAATTCATCAAGGGGGCGCAGAACTGGCGAGGCTCTACTCACCAAGGCGCCCCTGGGGGTTACAAGAAATAATGTCCATAAGCTAGCAGAGAGCAGATTTAGACTGGACATTAGGAAGAACTTCTTCACAGTTAGAGTGGCCAAAATCTGGAATGGGCTCCCAAGGGAGGTGGCACTCTCCCATACCCTGGGGGTCTTTAAGAGGAGGTTAGATAGGCATCTGGCTGGGGTCATCTGAACCCAGCACACTTTCCTGCCTATGCAGGGGGTCAGACTCTATGATCTGTTGAGGTCCCTTCCAACCCTAACATCTAGACTTAGATTCATAGGAAGCAGTTTTGGGCTGTGAATCCCAGCCTCACTTAAGTGCCTAACTCAGGGCTTTAGCTAGAAGGGAGGCATACATTCCTCTATTCAACATTTCCTAATAGATCACTTAGATATCCTGTCTTTGTCCCCCTTCCCTAATGTTTAGCATGCTGGCCATTGCAAATACTGTTCCTATGTGCCTCTCTCTCCTATGAAATGCATATGGAATTTAACCTAATCCAGATGCCTGAGTTACTGTAATGTTCAGGGTTGTCATGCAAAAGTCTCTTTGTGGCTCTTGCCCTATATAAATTAGGTTTGCTTTGAACAGGATTATATCACATGGGTTATAATGAAAGTGGAAGCCAGGAGCAGGGCTCTCAGCTTTTCCGACATCAGTGAAACTAAATGGTACATGGGTATAAGCAGGACTTATTTCAGCTTGTTTCTTGGCATATATGTTGGTGTATTCATGCATCTAACCCTAAGGCACTAGAGAAATGTCTTGAAGTCATAATTCTTATGTTTTG